GAGAACTTCCTGTGGCAGAAAAACAGAAAATGGAATTCAACATAAACAGCCAGGTCTTCTCAAACAGCATGGGAATTCTGCCTCACAGGGAGCAAAGCAGCCCTGTTCTGAATTTACCTGGCTCCTTGAGGTGCTTGTCCCTGGAAGCACTGTAAAACCACAGGCTGTCTTCTATGATTAGCCTCTGACACCAGAAGCACTGCCCGGGGGAGGGAGGCAGGATGAATGCCAGCCAATTCTCAGCAAGGCTCTCACGCCTGTTTTGCTTCTCCGACCTCCTCCTCTGCCTTCCTTCAACAGCTACCATGCCACTCCACCTCAGCACTTTTGGGCAGTGCCTTGCTGTATCTTTGGATACAGTAGTGATGGGAGCATCCTGACGAGGAGACAAGCCATGGCCCTTCCTCTTTTTAGAAGACCAAAGACCTTTAGAAGGGTCAAAGACTAAGCCTCAGCTCTCCAGGCACACTTGCGGGCTCATCACAATGTACTAGACACAATAGCTGGAATAAGATTTTGCAATAAAATGGACATGGCAATGGGGACAGGGTAACATCTAACCCTCCTAAAATTTAGCAGATTAGTGGAGAGAAAGAAACAAATGGGAGAGTGGTGAGTAGAGAGAAAAAGAAAAGAAGTTGCATTATCCCAGCAGCTGGCTTTTCATAACAAGATTCTTCTTGTTAAATCTCAAGTTAATAATCAGAAACACACAGGTGCTCTGGCCTCTTGTAAAGAGATCTCCTATGCTGTAGCTGAAAAAACCCACACTTGTAAATCTTAGACATTCACCTTTTCCACAGATATATGTCCTATAGATGTATCAGATGCTGATAGAGTCTGACCTATTCAGAGATGCAAATATTAATGGAAAATACTGAAAAACCACCTTTACGCCTCCACTGGAGGAAGCATTTTCAAAGCATTTCTTCCAATATGGGAGAAATCTCATCTGACCTAGTTTCCTACCCTGTTTGTTACCTCCTGGCTGTCTCATCTGAGGTTCCACCTGCTGTTTCTCCATCTGCCAGCCTTTTTTAGATCAGAGGAACCTTCTGAGTTACACGTTAAATGTCAGGCAGACTTGAGAAAAGTTGTTTATGTCTGCATTCAAACAGATGATATTTTCCATTAAGAATGCAGAATGGACACTAAAGGCTAAGATCTCATTTGCTTTTGGTTACCACAATTCAAGAGCAAGTCTGCTTATGTGAAAACGGATGCTATTAGTTCAGACCTGCCTATATCCAAGCAGAATAATGATACCCTGGGAAGACCTTTATTAGTCTTTTCCAGTAATACTGAAAGCCTTAAGCTGGGGGCCGAAAAGTATCAGATAATTTAGTCAAAGTCATTGGAAGCCTTGTGTAGACTGAAATCAAACCCAAAACCAGTAACAGGGAACCATCTATCTTTTCTCATTTACCTTCTAACCTAATCCAGGACAGAATACAAAGATTTAGTTTGCATTAATATGTCATTAAGTATAAGTTACCTGAAGGAGTAATTACCTCTATGGTTGCAATACCTAAGAGCAGCTACTCGATTCAAACCCAACGTTTGAGGTATGCTGTACAACGCAGTACTTACAGTATAGTATTTTGCCAGCATGTAAGACCATAGCGCTGTTGAAAAAGCCCGGTGGGGACTTTGCTGGGGGAGTTTATGGTAATCTCTGGTTTTCTGCCACATTTGCTACTCTTACCTATTCTGCAGAGGACCCTGATCATCTGATCTCTGCCATCTCAGTTCTATGCAGACTTAAGAGAGGCAGCA